AATATTATTTTGATTGCTGGTTCCTATGTATATTTTGTATATACGAACTTATAACAATAAATGATGTTATAAATACGATGAATATACACCACATACTACGCGAAAATGTTACGTCATGTACTTAAATTTATCTTGATAAAAACGTCTAACATACGTCTAAAACGCGTTTTTATAAAGACGTCTTCATTTAGACGTCTTTTAGCCTTATGATCTAGACGTCTACAAGTGCGCCTTTTAGACCTCCTTAAAGACATCTTTAAAACGGCTTTTAAACGTCTTTGTGCTTACTGGGAAATTTTAAACTAGTTTATAAACGTTATACACTGATTTTAAAACTTAATATTTTTTAAACGGGTACTAAAATAGACGCAATTATATTGTATATAATTTATAAAAGAAATGTTTAAAAAACCACAAAATTTTATCAAAAAAAAAATATATATATATATAAAAAAACGACAATTAGAAAGAAATTTTTCGGTAATAGAGATTGTATTATGCAAGTGTAAAAAGCAATATGTAACTTAAAATGTCCAAAATCTTCTTGCATAACGTTATGTACAATTATCTTTAAATGTCAATGTAAGTATTATTAACAGAAGATAAGTTGAGTTTAGGAATGTTAAGAAATTTTGCAATAGTAAAAAATAAAAATATATTACTTTATTTCTCAAGTAGAAAATTTGAATCTGTAATAACCAATACCTTACCGCTGTATAAAGTCAAAGTTTACAAGATTTATGCAGTAGATATTTGGTTTAGTTGACATTTTAGTAGCTTAGAAATTTTATATTTAGTTATATTTTATATTTGATTCAATAAAAACATGTATTACTATTATCATTTTTTATAATTATTTAAAGTTAAGTGTTTACTAAAGAATATTTTATCAGCCTCATTTAAAAAAAGTTCTAATAGTGTACTAGATTCTTTATAAAACAATAGGTTTAGTATTGCACTCTACATAAAAAATAAGATGGTAATAACCCTACAAATGCATATAAAATTATTATAGCTTTAAATTTCAAAATACATCGAGAGAAATATCATGCAGTTGTTATTTAAGTTAGAAATACTTTTGTTTTGTGCTGACGTTAATCATTTACGTAAATCTGCAGTAAAGAAAAAAGTTATTTTTAATAGAAAAGAAGAATTTTAAATTCAGACTTTTTCTTTCTTAATAGTTAAGCCGGGTTTAAGTAAGTTCATAAAAAAGTATGCGGATAAATTAATTTTTTTTCTATGCTCTAAGAGCAATTATTGAAGCTATATCAACTATTTTTAAGCTATATGAATTATTTTTCTATCGTTTATTGAAAAATATTGAAGAAAATAAGGAATAAGTATAGGTATGGAAAATGTAGAAGAAATATACCAAGCTCAACATTTTATGGCTCCGGAATACTTGGCTCATGTAATTGCACAAAGATTAATCAGATATTTTAGTTGATCCGATTAATATATGCCACTAACTGGTTAATATATGCCACACACTCAAAAGTTATCAACTTACAATTTCATTTACTCTAATAATATAATTAGTTGAAAAAAAAACTTACCAAAATAAAAAAAGCAATAAGATTTTTCATTTTTCTTCTAATTTTGTTGTTAATGAAGTTTGTTTTTGACATTTCAACAAGTGTTAAGTAAATATTATTGTTTGCTCGACTACACACATAAATTTTGTTTATTTTTATTTTTATACTGACTAATAAATAAGTAGTGATTGTAATTAAATTCAAATATAATTTGAACATATTTTGCAGCTGTAGCAACTATAAACGATCTCTATCGTTATTGGTAATTCAGTAATATATAAGAAAACATCAATACACAATGAATCTAAATTTAACATGCAATTGGTGTGATAAATAAAAACATTTATATTTAAACAATCAATTTATTGACTGAAATAAAACCACAAAACTTTTAATAAAGTTAATACTTTTATAAAAAAATTTAATAAAAAATCGCAAAAATGAAACTTTTTTTTTTTGTATTTTTTAAATTCTAAAATCTCTTTAAAACTTAGTTTTAAGTTTTTTTAAACCTTTAATGCAATAAATATATTTTCTGTAGAACTTACCAATGCAATTATTAGTAATTTGTCTAGCCAAGAAAAAAATTCCGGAATTTCGTTGCCGGCTTTCCTTATAGTTAACGACCAACGACATACAGATGAACAGTTTAGTTTATTTTTGGAAAATGTTTAAAATTCAAAACGTATTAGTTTAAATGCATACCCTATTAAAAAAATATTTTAAAAAAGTATTTAAATTACTAGAGCATCCGAAATTTTGTCATTTTCAAAGCGAATAATTTAAAAAGTTAGAAAAAGAGCATGTTAATGAAATGTTATTTCGGAATTTTACAAATCCAAACTGACTGTTCTGTAACTCGAAAGAGATATTCAACCCAAGAAAGACCAAACTGATGGTGTCAAATTAATTGATTTGTTTACAGCAAAAATAATACCAACCATATCTACTCTTATAGAAAAACTAGATAGTGCTACGACAAAAAAGTCTGATAAAAGCAGCATTGAAGGAATATTTAAAGAAAGAACTGAAGACATAAAAAGATTATTTAATAATATACTGCATGCTATTGTCACTTTATTCATAACTAGTTTTTTTAGTTTAAAAAAATATGTACAAACGACTATGTGTAAAGAATATGTACAAAAGGATATGTATATTTAATTGTTACAACAAGAAGAACAATACAAAAAATACTTGTGGAATTATAACAGATTAAAAACTTTACATAAATTTAATGGTACGCCATTAGATGATTGGCTTACTCATCTACAAATAAAAAACTTTGTCGCCTAAAATTTAATATAACAAAAAATAATTAGCAAAGTAGCCTTATGGCCTTTATTAGAAAAAAAAAAAAAAATCTTGTAATGAGTTTGAAGATTTTATCGGCATCTTTGTTAAAATCAACCTAAACGCGAACTTTTTTTAAACAACTGTGTTGTAATATTTTAAGAAAACAAACTGTGGTTTGCTAACGGGTATAACCTTCAACAAAAAAAGTCTATAAAAAGAAGATCAATACTTTGCATTAAATACACAAAATGTCACGGCAAAAAACCATTACTTTAGCCGTTTTACGAACGCATTCAAAATAAAAAATGTTTTAATATCTTTAAAGTTGATTTAAATACATGATTATTTTTTACTACAAATATTTTTTTTTGTTATGACTCCTTATCACGCGGTGGATTTTTTTTTTTTTACAAACAAATGTAAAACAAAATGTTTTAATAGTTTTAAAGTGTATTTAAGTTGATATTTTTTTAACAATAAGTGTTTTGTAATTAACCCCTAACACGCAGTTGATCAACTACTGGAAGAGGTACTGCATGCATGTAAATGGTGTCGCGGTCTCTTTCTTTCCTTTCCATATCTTTTTTAAACCATAAATAACGAGCCCACTTGTAAAGCGTTTGATATGTTTTTTGGAGTTATAAAACTTGTGTTATAAAACTAAATTGTGTCCACGTCTTTTTACATGTATTTTCGTTTTATTTTACTAGCTTTCTTTTCTCTTTAACTTTTTTTTAATAGCCATACTGAGTTAGAATCCATCAAAATAGAAACAAGTTCATCAAATGACATATTAAATTCTGGAGCTTTATCTTTATTTATAAAGTGAACAAGCACGTTATAATTTAAACGAGTCGCTTTGATTTGATTAGTGGTTGTCCATTAATTACGTCAACAAAATAGGGGGAGGGGAGTCTGAACTTGTTTGACAATTGTTGACACGAGGGAGGGGAAAGATCAATTAAAGTTGACGTCAACTATATTTTTTTTTTTTGAGTTTTATTGCTTAAATAACGGAATATTAGGCTGAGTTTGTAAAGTAATTTCTTTGTATATTATAATAAATTAATAATATTCCAACTTGTCTTGAATTATTTAAAACATAGCGTTTTTTAAAGTATTTTTTGAACTGATAAAAATGATGCACCTGTTGACTCTGGCTTGAGCATTTCATAAATAAACATTATTAAAAACAAGTTTTAAAAAATTAACCAACAACAGGTATTCCTCCCATCAAATCTCCAAGAAAGAAATTTCCCAATTACCAACTAACGAATTATAAGCGCGTTGTTTTACTTTTTTTTTTTTTTTTATTAACAAAATGAAATCTTCTCCTACGCACAAATACTATGCGAGAAAGATGATTATCTGGCTCTATTTTGTTACTTTATATTTTTATCTAGAAAATATTTGTGTCACCCTGACATTACCTTACTTAACCTTGCTTAATGTTTTTTTCTGAGAAGGCTTACTTATTATTTATAAACAATATCTATAGTACAATCGCATTTAAACCTTACTTGCTTATTTACGTAGTTTAATCCTAAACCTTACTTAATCTGAAACTTTTTAAGCTTTCTTTCTGAAGTTTCTTTCTTTCAATGCTTTCTAGAAATACGTGATTATGCACTAAGCTACGTCGACGTGGTGTGTTTGCTATTGTTTGAAGAGAATTGTTTTTTTTATACAAATACAGCTTGTTTAATAGCACAAATCAAAAAGAAATTTTTCTTTGATTGAACTTTTCATAAAAATTATAAAAAATAAACTAGTTCTGAAAGTTATTCACGAAGGTTGTAATTAAAGATAAAATTGGGAAAAAAGAAATCACTGTCATCTACGACAATGATAACAAGTTGCCATAAAACACATATAGAGACCCGAGTGTTTTTGGGAAACATTTAGCTTTATTAAATTGCAACGAAGTTACAAACAATCATCAATTTTTTTTAATATAAATAGTTACTTTATTTTTGTAACTATTTGTATAAAAACTTAACTATTTTTTTTTAGATCAGTAAATGGAAAATTAAAAAAAAAATAAACGCCCCCTCCTCCAAAAAAAAAAGAAGAAATAGTAAATTAAATTGTTTCCAAAAGAAACATTAAACTTATTTGTATAATTTTTGTAGTTTTTTAAAATATATTTAGAATATAATATCTTACTCAATGCATTCTTTGATGCGCATAATTCTCATCTGTTAAGCGCCATCTTTTAACTATTTTACCTGCTGTCCTAATTAACAATTTGAAGCATTATTATCATATCTTTTTTTTGTTTTGATTTGACAATATAATAATTTTTTACAATTGTTAGGAAGGGATGGCTCATGATTGTTTGTGTAGTCGTCCCAGTAAGCACAAGACGCACTTTAGACACTTATAGACGTCTAAAACTAGTCTAGGTTAAGACGCACTTTTATAGACGTTTTAAAGACATCATTTAGACGTCTTTCGTTAATGCGTTTTTAAAATGACCTTTAAAAGGCGTCTTTTTTAAAGATAAAAAGACGTCTAGAAGACGTCAATTTTTAAGACATCTCCTAGACGTTTTTAATAAATGCGATTTTAACATGACATTTAAAATGCATCTTTTTAAAGTTTAAAAATACGTTTAAAAGACGCGTAATAAATAGTCGAAAATACGCATTAAAAGACGTCTAAATTAAAGCTAAAAGACGTCTTTTCTGAGACCTGTTTATAAATATGTCATTATGACTTCTTTTTGACGGCTTTATCATTACGCGTTAAGTAGATGTTGTATATTCAAAGTAAAAACATAGTTTTTATTATTTTCAATAACTTGGTCAAGTTTTAAGTGTAAATTACTTTAAATTAAATTTACACAATTGCTAAAATTGTTGTCACAATTGCTAAAATTGTTGTCACTTTTTTACACAATTGCTAAAATTGTTGTCACAGGAATCACTAAAATAATTGCTATAATAATAATATATCTTTTTTTTATTAATAATTATTTTGCTTTTTTAATAGATAGTTGACTGATCATGATAATAAGTGAAAATGGCAAGAATAATATATAAGTTAAATATCAGTACTTTTAGTTTTTATACACCCACAAGCCATATAATAAGTCAAGTATGCGGTCAAAAATTAGCTATTAAAACGCATGTTAAAAAGTTTTAAATAATGTTTTCATTTATATTTGTTATTGTTATTTATTATTTTCATCTCTGATGCATAAACCGTTGGTGGTGATTACAGCAATATTATTTTGATTGCTGGTTCTTATGTATATTTTGTATATACGAAATTATAACAATATACGATGTTATAAATACAATGAATATATACCACATACTACGCGAAAATGTTACGTCATGTACTTAAATTTATCTTGAAAAAAACGTCTAACATACGTCTAAACCGCGTTTTTATAAAGACGTCTTCATTTAGACGTCTTTAAGCCTTATGATCTAGACGTCTACAAGTGCGCCTTTTAGACCTCCTTAAAGACATCTTTAAAACGTCTTTTAAACGTCTTTGTGCTAACTGGGGTTGAACTTTTCGAAAAAATACATTTTGTTCTTGGCGTAAATCTTGTACACGCATTTTTTTTTTTATGTATAAAATGAAAAAGTTTTTCATTAACAACTTTTTTTAAATAACCATATTTTATTATATTAAATTTTTTTTATACTATTTTATATAAAAAGTATTTGTTTTAATATACAGTTTTTTGAAATGTTTTTACTATTGTTTTCTAGAAACTAACTTATAAAAAATTTCTAAATCAGACATAAGAAAAATAATTGGAAATACACAAACAGCCTTTCTGGAGAACAACAGCTGAATATTTAGGCTTTCGTTCGTATGAAATTGCCTAAATTGATCATAATTATATTCGTTTATACGATAAATTATTACAAGTACTGGTTTTATTTTTTCATCAACGAAGAAAGTGTAGAACTTCTATTGCAACATTTAAAAAAGTGGACAATGTATGAAGAAAATAAAATAATACAAAACTGCAAAAACAAATTATTAATGAATATTTTGAATAAAATTTTATTTGAATATAAAAAATAAATGTTTTATTTGTTGCTAAAATTTTTTTTTTTTTTTATTGTACTAATATATTAGAGTTTTATTTGCTTTATAATCGATCTTTTAGAAACAATGCATTACAATATAATAGATAAAGCAGAAGAGAAACTCAAGGCTGAATTATAAATGTTAGTTTATTTACGTAGAATCCTAACTTTTTTGAATCTCACGTACACCAAATTAACAAAAAATATGAGCATATCAGAAATTCTACTCCTAGATCCGAAAATTAGAATAAAATTTTAGAGAAGGAAAAAGAAAACTATTTACAATATCTATATAAAAACTTTCGAGATTATTTTTTTTTAGTTAAAAGATTGAATAAATTTAATCGAGGCCCTCTTCTTGAAAACCTGAAATGGTCAACAAAAATGAACCAAGAAAACGAAAATGAACTTGAAAAGACAAGGAAAAAAATGACACAAGCAAAAAAACTAAAAAAATAAAATAAATAGAAAAAAAGTCGAGCTACAAAATTCGCTATATAAGCCCAAAGTCAAATTTTAATTTAAATAGCATAAACATAAAAGACGAAAAAGAAGAATTTAATTATGTATCAGACACTTAAGATTTTTAATAATTTTTTTTTTTCACTTTAATTTAATATTTACTGAATTTATGTTTTTTACTTTTTAATTTTGTTTCTGAATAAATATTTCTAAATTAAATGTTGTTTTCTTATTTGAAATATAGTTTTGGTTTTAAATTTGGTTTTGTTAGCAAAAAGAAAGAAAAGGTTAGATTAGATTAGATTAAAATTTATTAGAACAGTGATACATGTTCTAAAGGACACGCAGGTCCATATAATATGAAGGACTCTGACAACGTGCCCTACAATCACATAATACAAATGCTAGATAATTTAAAATATATATTACAAATATATATAAGACCATAGTTATAAAACAAAAACCAGTTAGCCGGAACAGTATTTTTCAAAGTCAATAGAGTTATTTTTAATTTTGAAGCTCTTTATATTTTTGGCATTCACGACGTCAGACGGCAAGTTATTCCAAATATTAACAACCCTGAGTGAGAAGAGTGTTTGTAGACATCGAGTTTACATTTTAGTTTGCGTAATTTATAATTATGTCCTCGAGTGTAAATATAGTTGTTAAATAAAAAGAAACTTGATTTAATTAGGCAAACTAAAATGTTCAAAATTTTGTAACATGTAATCATGTCTTGCTTAAGAATTTCTAGTAGTTCCAAACCAAGAATACTAAGTCTACTTGAATATGAAACATAAGAAATAAGAAATTCTCTTGGTAAAACGTTTTTGTACTCTTTCCACTGTATTGTTCATTTTAGTGCGATTTGGCGACCAAACCGGAGAGCAATATTCTAAGATCGGTCTTATATAAGTAGTGTAGGCTTTAACGATAACACGTGGATCACGACTTTTAAAACACTTGAGGATTAGATATCCTTGAACGTTTGATGCACGGACGATATTTGAAATATGATTACTGTAACTTAAGTAAGAATCCATGGTCACACCAAGATCTTTTGGGTTTGTAGACCAAGTTAAAATATGATCGCCTAATTGATATCTTTACAAAATGAAGTATGTAATATGTAATTTATATCTTTACAAAATGAAGTAGGTGCTATTCTATGAGTAAAGCACTTATTATTGGCTATTTTTAATTGGCATTTTATAATTTTGGATGTTATACAACTGAAGAGTATTGGAACATCTTTTCTAATCATCTTCATTTTATATATTTTGGATGAGGTACAGAGTCAAATGCGTTTTGAAAGTGAATGTAAACCACGTCAGTAATTAAATTTCTGTATAAAACTTTATTCCAGTCATTAGTTGACTTTAGAAGATTTGTGCACGTAGATCTTTTGGATAAAAAGCCGTGTTGATTAGGTGTTATTAGATTATTTATATTAAGATAATCAGCGATACTTGAACTAACAATACTTTCCATGACACGACAGCTAGTACATGTGAAAGAGATAGGTCTATTATTGGTAGCATCTGAAGTAGATCCTTTTTCAAAAATAGGGGAAACCGTAGCTTGAAGCCACTGTTTTCGTAACAAGCTTGACGTAAAACTTGATTCAAATATATATGAAAGCGGCATACATATTATATGTGCTAACTGTTTTAAAAGTATATTTGTTATACCGTCTGGTCCAAATGATGTGCTAGGTTTTAAATTTTTAAGTTTTTGATAAACTATCTTTGCTGAAAAATCTACGAAATTCATCTTAATATGTTCACTAACAAAGGTATTTATATTAGACAAAATGCCGTCATCTATGGTAAAAACACTTCCAAAGTGTTTGTTAAACACTTCCACGATTTCAACATTGGTAGTAGTAAAGTTGCTATTTGTTTTTAGAGGATATATTTTTTTGGGGTTGCTTAGATTTTTATTTACATAACTAAAAAACTTACTTAAGTTATTTTCTTTGACCAGTTTTAGTTCCACATTTTTGTGGTGTGTGGATATGGCTTTTTTACATTTTGATGCATATTGGATAAATGCTTTTTTGTGCAAGGTGGTCTTTGTGATTGACCATCTTTTCCATAGAAAAGATTTGCGAATTAGCATTTTATAAATATATTTTGGATAAGAACGACTTTTTTTCTTATGATATATTGTTCTGATTGGAACAAAACGATCAATACCTTTACGAAGATGATTAGAAAAGATGTTCCAATACTCTTCAGTTGTAAAAACAAAATAAAAATCGAAGTCCTAACTTATTTTTGATAAATAAGAATTAAAAGCAATTATATCTGTATTTTTGAAGTCGTAAAAGATTCAGAGCTTGTTTCGGGCTGATAATAATTAAAGGTGTTTATATAAAAAAAGACTGAGTTATGGACTGAGTTAATCTCTATAAATTCTAACAGTTTAAACATCCTAAATGTTAAGAACCACATCATTTTCTTTCAAAAAATAACAGGAAGTCTTTTTTTTAATATTTAAAAGAAAATTGCCTTTTTTTTTTTTTTTTTATTTCGCTTTTTTATTCTTTAATATCAATTTTAATAAATTTTGCCCGTATGTTACCACATGTTTGAAAAAAATGAAACTATTTTTTTTAAACTTTTTCTATACCCAAATACTTATATATACTAATACTGAAGTGAATTAATAAAACTGTTTATAACATATTTAAATCGCAAGTTTAATTTTTGCCATAATTAAATTAAAAAAAAAAAAAAACATTTTTAAGTTTACGAATGCGATTTAGAAAACTATTTTGTAGTTTATTTTCAATTGCGTCAAATTCCTCATAATCATACTTTAAAAAGGCCATTGAAAAAAGAAGTACATTTTATCAATAGAAGCGACATGCAATAATTTTACGTGTATTTAAAATATAGTCTTTTAAACAGTACTTTTGATAAACTCATTTCTGGTTATAACGTAAAATTCGGTTTTAAAAACTATTCAAGTGATCAGCAATTAAAACAATATATTTTTCAAAATAAACTGATGTTGCATGAATACATTAAAGATTAAATATATTCATTATTTTGATACTTGTATTTTTTATACCATTCACTTGTTTTTAATATTATTAATCCAGCAAGCATATAACGTTATTACAAGGGTTTTTCAACGTTAAGAAATGGTTCATATTTGGATGGAAATTAACGATCTAAATTTCAACTTTATTTCAACGTTAGTTTAACGTTAAAAAAAAAAAAAAAGTTGAAATTTCAACATTGATTTTCAACAAAAAACAAGCATTGGATTAACGTTGACAAATAAACGCTGAAATAAGGATGAAATTACGTTGAAATGTAGATACGAGAGTATACCGAAGCAAATGTACTAATAATTCGGAGTTAAAATAAAATTTAATATTTCACATATATTTCAAATTTAATATTTCGCAAAGATTAAAAATTTAATATTTCACATAGATAAAATTTAATATTTCGCATAGAAAAGTTCTTTAAAAACATTTAATTAAAGTATTAATGTAATAAAAGTAAAAACATTAAAAAATTTTTTTGCTATGAAAATATAAATAACTTTACAAAAATTTATAGGAATTTGCAGTATACACAAATTTTGCATATTTAATATAAAAATGCAAAATTTGTATACTACAAATTCATATAACTTTTTATATGAATTCGGAATAAATTTTTAATATGAAAATAAATTAAAGTCTTTATAATTCTAATAACACTTTGATTGTATATTTTGCGTATATATATATATATATATATATATATATATATATATATATAATATATATATATATATTATAATTATGAAACTGTAGTGTAGACCAGTATATTTTGGTTTATATAGTCAAACGATAATGTTATTTGTTTAAATGAAATTCCATCAAGTTGATTACAGAATGGTTTTGGCCGTTGTCCGAATCGAAATGTGAAATTTGCAGTAAAAAATTGCAATAAAGTACAACAGTTGGTTAGTATAAGTTTAAACTAAAATGTGATGAAACTGCAGGCATTATAACCTATTATATATAAATGATTATTAGATATATTTATAAGAGCAGTATTAAAAACCATTTAATCTTTATCAAATCTTATGTAAAGTATTTATTGTATTATTTTTGTTAGGAAAAGGTATAATAACATCAGGTAAAGTAAAAACTTATACACTGGATTGCAGGCGTTAACATAACTCTAAAGTAGGTTGGTATTTTCATTTTACCGTTGTTTTTTTTTATATTTTGTTGCAATATTAAAATAAAATAAAGATGGCTTGCACAGTAGAACAGAACATAAATGTAAAGCTTTAGTTAAAAAAGCAAAAAATAGACTAGTTAATGTAGGCTTTAATATTATAGGACCTAAAGTATACCAAAAAAGTCGTTTTTAAAGATATCTACTTTGTTTTGTCATGTTCATATAATGCTCATCCAGAGAGATGAGCCAGATGGAGTTTAAATTTAGTAAACATTCTAGTTATTTAATGCATAAACATCCTAGCTTTTTAATGCATGTCATTATATAAACATTATGAAAGTAACACCGAATGTAAATCATGACTTTTTTAATAAACTTTTATTACTCTGCCATCAAAGATAATTGTCTTAGATTTGTCAATATTAAATCACTCATGACAACTTTCTGCTAATTATTTTTTATTTATGCATAATATAATCTAAATCATCAAGTTGATATTAATGACAATTTGTTAAACAAATTTCTTATTTTTTCGTTTTATTAATTTATTTAATAATATTAATAATATTATAATTGTTTATTTACTTTAATTCTATTAATTATTTATTAGTTTCTATTTATAGTATTCATAAAAAAGTTAGCACATATAAAAAAAGAGAAAGTTATTAAAATCTATATACACTACTGGTGCTTGATTTACGGGTACTTTTTTTTTTCCCCTGTTAATCACAATTTTTATTTCTCTATTTTTACTATAATTTTCATATATGTTATTTTTTTTCTTTTTTTATTTTATTTCAGTTTTTATTTGTTCATTTTTAAATTTATTATTTCAGTAAAAAAATTTATTTTTTATAAATATTTTTATTTAATTATTATCTGTTATACTTTATATTTTTATATATATATTTACAAAAACGATTATTTACATTAATATAACTATATATATTAACCTTAGCCCTAACCCTAACCCTAAGCCTGACCTTGATGCCTGGCCAAACCAAACCCTCTGTCAATGTAGCAGCACTCTCTTGCGAGTCAGGCTATAAAATAGTCGATGTATGTACTTTTCGCTTTGCATAAAAACTATTTACGGGGACATTTTTTTTACAAACAAAAACGCTACTTACGAGGACAAAAAATTATAGGGTACACTAAAATATCCTCGTTAATGCTAATGTCCTCGTAAGTATCTATTTTAATGTAAAATCTGTTCTCGAACATGCTACTATATGGATATATATGTATATATATATATATATATATATATATATATATATATATATATATATATATATATATATATATATATATATATATATATATATATATATATATATATATATATATATATATATATATATATATATATATATATATATATATATACATATACATATATATGTATTTTTACATATATATGTATAATTATATACATATATGTATACACAAACACAGTTAATTGCAGATATCTAAACCCTCCAGGAGACTAAGGAAATTGGTTCTACTAAACGAATGTTTGACTTAAGCAATGTATAACTACCTAAAAGGTTTTTGCCATGTGTGTATACACGTTGATGTATGACGTTAATGTATAATGTATATTTATTTAAATAGGTTGATATTTCGGTCAATAATTAAGTAAATTTGGAATGGATCAGTTATTAATTGTTTTATTTCTCACTATTGATCACTTAATGTTCACATTCGCTTGTGAATAATGTAAAGTATAATAATACTTTTAAAATGTACAAATGTACCTTTAATTTATCAAGTGTACACTTAGTTTAAAGTGATTTTTGTTTAGATGCAATCATCTGAAGTTCTTAAATAAAAAGACACAATGCAAAAAGAATTTAAACTGTTTGAACTTTGCACCATATTGATTGGATCGTGAGAAATGGGCATCAAATCAAAATGAGTCTGATGACAGCAGGCGAGAAAAATACATGTGAATTTGACATTGGTGTTGAAGATAAAAATATCATGATTTTATCAAGATCGTTTTGAAAGTAATTTTTATTTTGTAAAATGTTTTGTTTTAAAAATGTATAAATTATTTGTTTGGTTTTATTTACTTTCAATAATGGATTTTCAATTTCTAAAATTTATTTAACTGCGTTAAAAAAATGGTACAGGGCAGATTTATTATAAAACTATAACAGCAGTTAGTACTTTAATATAAAATAAATTATTAATACTCTTAATAACAATGAATTAAAGCTGTAAAAATTGAGAACATGAGGTATAGTATAATAGCATAAGATATTGTACTATGACAGCTATTATAAGTTTATGAAACCTATTGTTTCTTTTTTTACTCATAACAACACAATATTGTACAAAAAATATATGTTTTTTCAGATTAAAAGAGTCAAGGCGCAATAAGTTGTATTTTGAGGTTTACAAACTCATTTATAAGATGGTTGAATCAATTTTAATCTAATGTTGATT